AAAACGGCTGATAATTAAAGATAACATTGAAGTGATGAATTTTCTTAAAAACCTTCCTTAAATCTTTAAAACATTATAATAAAGTATTACACAGATTGTCATAGCATTTCTGTCTTTATTTTTTTTCCAAGAAATAATATTTTTTTGCCCACTGTTTTACAGTTGAAATGTCAGATCATATCGCAAAGTTTTTGATTTGTCATTCACGGAAAATATGAAGTTGTTTGTTATTTATTAATAATTATTAGGTACTCATTATCTAAGAAGATAATTATTTTCAACAATTCTACATAGGTAGCTATAAATGCTTCGTTAATCGAGTGGATTTTATCGATAGATAATATAACAGACACAGATAGAGTTAAATTATTATTGTTTAATATATACTTTCATATATTTTCATTTGTTAAGAGTAGGTATATAACATTAGTTTTCAAGGTCCGAGTAAATAGGATGCTTAAATAGGTAGGCGTGCCCCATGTAAGTCATAATAACAACACGACGGGCAAGCAAGACGCCAAACCATACAAAATAAAAAAAATGGCTATTTATTTAGATATCTACGAACAAAAATCCGTTTTCAATAAAAGGTACATTTAGACCTTTACAGGCACTTTTGAACGTCAAAGAAAGCTTAAAGATAAAATAGTGTCAGTCTATCGGTTAAGTCTCTTAGCGAAGCTATTCGTTCCTTCCACAGTGTAGATGGAGAAGAACGAGCAAGAAACTTCATGGTTACTCTTTTTCAGTCAATTTCAGAAGTCATCAGTTTGTTCAGGTTTTTTATTGACTATCGCATCCTCATCTTTTGCTGTTCTAAGTACTGATTCTAACAATGTATATGAAAGAAAACAATGGATACTGTTAGGTATCGGCTAAATTATAACAATTAAGTCATCTCATGTTATACCTAAAACTTATGAAGTCTGATTTATTTTAAATGTAAGTGCCACGTGGCACGATCTTTATATACGTTATTGCATAATATAACACAAATACATAATATCACATCACCAGTATATAAGTTTCCATGGCACAGCAAAAGCCTCTTCTCACTCGGAGAAGGTTTGAGCATTACCTGCCACGATTGCTCTAGGCAGATTGCATATTTCAAACATACAATAAGAAGTTATTACGATCATATAGTCCTCATGATGTTTTCTTTTAGCCTAGGTCAGTCGTGTCTAAATAAACTTAGAAAGTACATATAGGTGCACCTCCTAATCCATAAGTTGCGAGCCCCTCAACCTCCAGGCCACTACATAATAACCGCTACAAAAGACATTTACTTACATTTCAATAATTTAATCATTTTATTCATCAAATCACGACCAACTTCACTGACTCACAGTTTTGCAACACATTATCACTGATTACTAATCAAATTATGAACACTTCTCATCACTTTGAATGCAACAGCAGGTCACTAATGAATCATCACACAAATTGTACGAAATTCTTCACTTTTTCGCACTAAATGACGCGGTTCTATGATAATGGAGTACGTCATATCGTAAAAGGAAAATGCGTGTACCAGAGCTGCTAAAGAAGTGTAAACAAAGAGTCTCCGATTCATATTTTTATGTAAGCCTTATCTTGGATTATGATAAAGACCTTGGAAATGGCTTGTATGTCATAAAAACGTAAAAATAATCGTCCACGCAAATATTGTCTTTAAGTTTAAAGTGTTAGAGTAAAAATTGTAATGAATGTCAAGGCTGTAAATCGTATATGAAGTAATTATCTCTTTTAAAAAATATTGACACAGTAATGGATGTAGGCGATTAGTAGAAAGTGTTTGTTTTAAAAGGTTTTTTTTTTACATTTTATTGATATCTTCTCTTAAACTTTAGTAGTTTTAAGACGACGTTTTGTCAATATAAGACTTTCTTTGAACACTTATGGTCCCTATAAAATATAAGTCCAGAGACCAAGCTACTATTTAAGTAGAAATATGTTAATAGATAGATTTATTCTAAATTTTCTCCACACGTCAAATACATTTGAAAAAACAGGCGACGAACCAACCACCTTAAAAAAAATCAAACAAAAAACGAACGTAATCAAAGTCCTTTTAAGGTTTAATTTAATTATTCATAACCTGCGGGTCATGTTGGAAAAAAGGACCGATCTCTAGGTTCCATATTTGGAGAATGGATTCCATTCTGTGGCTTCATAATGGAATATTTAAGCCACAAATAAGAGAGTAAGCGTTTGGTCCTTTTGGTCCTATTAAAGGATAATTTACTTGATATTGTCAGCGTAAATGTATTAAGGAGAGACAGGAGAACATGGATATGACTTGTAGTTTATTATTCAATAAAATTATTTTAAAGATGTATATTTTTTATTACTATCTTGTCTGTGTTAATAAGTGATACTTACTATATAAATTAAATTAAATGTCCTTTACGTTATATTTTTTTATTAAAATACTGTTTAGATGTAAAAATACGTTGTTGATCAGATAGCTGATTCGTTTTTGATGCTTCATGCTATGTCAAAGACGACGCCAAAAAGATGGCGCCGGATTCGGTTCTTCTTTTAAACCCAAGAGATTAAGAACAATACAAAGATAAGCCATTTACTACGCAAAAATCTGTTTCATTTTAAAGTTTTAAGATAAAAATCGGGTAAAATATTCAAAAAAGTCTAAGTATATTATTCGTTATCTAAAAATGTACAACAGACATCGTTTTAAATTTCAATCTTTTTTCGATTCTAAGGACCAAAATGTGACGTAGGACCATTCTGTCATTTTAATTCAAACATGAATAGAATTCGTAAGTATGAGACAAATTGAGTGTGCACTAAGTTAAAGGGTCCAGAGGGATATCCAACGGACCAATCACGTCGCTGGAATGCCGTTAGAATACAAAATTAGAACGCTCTTAAACTGGGCGAACAGAAATTCGTTTAACGTTTTAATTTTCAGACTTCGTTGCCCTGTTAACTGGGTTGTAAGTAATTGTGAATAAATTAGAGTTTATTGGTTTTATTTTATTGGAAGGATTGGGTCTGGAGTTACCTCACAATCACAATACAACGACAAAGCACCACGCCAAGTTTGTCTCACGCCGGTTTTCTGTGAGGTCCGTGGTGACACATTTAAATGGCTTAATGAATTTCATATATTTTAAGTGTTGTGTTATGTGTTTGATCGACTATAAATATTGATATATAAATGATTTTTATTCAGATTTATACTGCATGTAACTGACAGAACAGCTAAGAGTAAATATATTTGATTATAACCTCCATAGAGTTTAGTGCTCTAAACATTTTTATATTTAAGGCTGATTTTTCAATGGTTAGATAAAAGTTACCTGGGGAGTTATTATGATGCTGTCGCGTCAGAATGTTTGTATAAGACCGTGACAGCAACAATTTTATTCCTCAGATAACATTTATCTTGATTAAAAAATCAGCCCTAAGTGTTACAAAACATCTAAGGTTTTTTTTGCAATATCATTACAATCCTTCAATGTATCTGCCTATTTCTTCTGATAAAACTGGAACTTATCGCAATGGGTATTAGTTACACAAGCTTAGAGTAAGGGGTATATCCACGTAATGCCTTCATTAATAAATGTAAGAATAGCGATCAATTGAGTGGGATTTGGCTTCATCTGACCAGCTGAGCTTCGTTACCGACGCTGTGCTACAGGACGTTTGAAATTTGTCATTGTAGTTCTTTCTAAGAATGTTTTTTTAAGGAGGATAAAAATATAAGTGAGATTCTTTTTTTTGTGAGGGGAAAATCATCAAATGACTTCTCCCGCCCAGGGCCGGGCGGGAGGGAGTGTCCGACTCTTACTGACTAAAACCCCTCTGTTCCTTCTCCTGCTCTGGGCCGAGGTCGCGGTGCCTCATTGGGCTTACCCCGCAACCCTGGCTGAATAAGTGAGATTCTAAGCACCAAATAACAGTATAAAGACAAAGTTTGCTCAATACCTATTATAAATTTTATGAGAATAAACTAATTTTGCAAACTGGTTTGCAAGATTATCTATTCAAAGTCAAAGTCAAAGAATTGATTTTCTATTAAATCCAATTATAAAAAAGTGTTACAAAATGCTGATGAATTCAAGCTCAGAAATTTAGCAGAGTAAATAGGAACAATAATAAAGTAACATGTATGATTACGATTCAAAAGGAAAGGAAGAAAAGAAATTGAATAAGTCCAAAGGTAATTTGCATAAACAAGAATTTAACAACCACCTGTATATAAATAAACAAAATGTGGGACAAACAGCGTATTGACTGGTAAGTATGATTAATAGATTCGTTGGGACAGGTCGGGACTGTATTATTGGGACTGTCCTTAATAGGATAGCACTTCGTGGAAACCCTAGCTTTATGTCCTATTGTAAATTTGTTGAAAGGAAAGTTTCATGTTTATTGCTAGTATTATTATTTGTGTATTATGCTGTTGCAATACTCGTATCAGGGTTGTGCCTCAAAGAGCCAATAGACCACCACATATATGGGGTTTAATAGGGCTGAGATTTGGCTGAATAGCAACAGGCTTATTTCTTCAAGTCTGACCTTTTACAGCAAATTTTCAAAAGAGGTTTTAGTCCCTTCTTTCATGTAATGTAAGATCCATGTTTATATATACATGTGATAGATACCTGTTTGCAGTCTAAACTATACCTTATTTACTCTTTGACTGCCATATTCGGCTATAGACTACAATCACAAAATAGGCTATTTCGCCAATCAAATGTCAAGCTTTACACCTATTTGGCTTGTCTACAGCCAGCCTGATGGTCAAAAGTAAAAAAAAACGAAGTTTGTATAGGGTTTAGTTCGTGAATTGTATTATTTAAATCAAATCAAAATCATTTATTACAACTGAACCATAAAAAGTTAATTTTGAAACGTCAAAATAGTCTGTCAGTCTATTCGTCAGTGAAGCTAGGTGCTCAGCTGGTATATTTATGTGGAATGTCGAAATATCGTGTTTCTTTTTTTTTATAAATTAAATGACTGCTTACCTTCGTACATCTGCGCATACTGCGGGAAGCCGGCAGCCCTTAGCCATTTGCATGCTTCTGCCGCTTCGATCTCTGTAACAACACACAAAACACATTAAAACGTTGAACGTGTAAGTAATAATAATAAAGTAATTAATTTTTTTATCATTTTACATCCTTTATTCCACCAAAAATACGCAAAACCTGAAGTACGTCGAACCAGGATTGCATTATACATATGCACATCTTATACACATGAAAGGAAGTAGCGAACCATAATTCTATTGTTTTGATTAGACTAAAAGAGTCTAATCATCAAGTTCAAAAACGTGGAAAACAGGGATATAGGTCCTCAAATCTTTGTCAAAGGGCTGTTAAAGCACTCATAATTACTCCGGTGTTACGATATCAATAGGCAACGTTGATGGCTTACAATCAGGTGATCCGACTGGCCACTAGTCACCTTATACCATAATAAAAAATAAAAAAAGATGGTCGTGGGTGCGGTTACGAACAAACAATTTCACATACACATGATACCCAGACACAGAACAACAATTTGTGGATCTCACATAGAGTTGTTCCATGCGGGAATCGAACCCGCGACACATTGCGCGACAGCCAGCCAGCACCAACCATGCAGTCAAAAGAAAGTATACATATACAAGCCTATTTACTCAAGATAATTATTTTTACACGCTCGCTTCAATATTGGAAAGAGATAAACTCATTAAGCAATGTACTTCATATAATTAAGCCGTATAGAAAGTTTATCGCTAAGAAAGCTTATAGAGTTTTATGTTCGACGTGTTTTATAGAGTTTTTATGGCGAAACAATGGGGAAACAGTCATTGGATCCACGCTTCAAAAGTTGTAACTGTCAGTGGAATCGCAATCTATTAAATTTTCTAGTTAATTTACTAGCTTATTTTGCGTTAATGTCGAGTTTTAGTTGAAGGTTTTAATAATGTTTTGTTTGTGACTTCTTTTATTGGTTTTTGACTGATTGGATGGAATTGTTAACTAATTTCTTTATGGGTAGGCACTAAAATCAGGAACTTTAGTGGCCAACTACTTTAACAAATTTCGTTTAATTAGGAAAATGTAGATGGCGCTTATATCCATTTTCAATACCTAAATCTTATAACTTTTTTCAAGGGACAATCAATCGCTATTGACAACATGAAGCCATACTACACTTTTGTAAAAGACCCCATAAAGACTTTTGATCTTATTAAATCAGACCTAGAACGAAATACATTGTATTCGCAGAAGATTGGGTGTGTAATATTAACACAAATATCTTTAAAGTTTTTTTTTACTTATTCTCTGAAAACAATGCAACTGACGGGTTTTGTAATTCAAATTTCGAATTAATTCGAATGTCAGATCGAGATAATGTTGCAACGTTCGAAAAATAATTAATTCATAAAGTTAATTTAAATATTGTAAATGAGAAGAGTCTTGAGTTTTAAAGAATGGTCAAATATATAAATATGATAGATACGTGTTTTAAGTGTACTTTTATATGTTTAAAGTACATTAGGTACTAATATAATAATGGTTATACATGCGGTGAGAGAAAAATAAGACTGCTCTGTATTCGGAATCACATAATAATAATATATCTTATCTATACATCTCTACATTTATCGTCTATACATGTATACATACTTCATATAAAAAATAGAATATCTATTTATAATAATCAATTAACTGCATGCGTATTATATTAATGTCCACAAAATTAACATTGTACAATTTTGTCTGTCTATCTGTCAGTTCCAGCTAATCTTTGAAATGGCTGGACCGATTTTGACCTGTATATTAGGTAGTTTGATAGCCAATGTAATAAAGAAAAACTTAGGCAACTTTCATTATAAAGATATTTTTTTATCTAAAAAGAACATATAGCTTTTCCATGCAATGGCAATAATAGCCCGGGTATCATAATATTACTTTTACCGACCAAGAAGTTGAAGTACCAGGTAAGTATTTTAACAGCATTGACAACCAGTTGAGTTGACCAAGATAAGATAAAACCGCTGTTTATACGGAAATAATAATTTTCCGGTGTTTGCTATCAATATCGAAATGCAGGATGTTATCGATTTCACTTGTAATCAATTTCCTAATATCATTACGCTTGTGTTACGTAAAGATTTGGTACAAGTTGAAATTATTTATTACTTTATCCTGTAACTGCATCTTTCTATATTATGAGTCGGCGAACGTGCTGTTGGATTTCCTGATGGTAAGCAATCGGAGCCACCCATGGACACCCGCAAAATCAGAGGACTTACGAGTGCGTTGCCGGCTTTTTGGGGATTAGGGTAACGGAAATTAAGAGATGGGAGAGGTCTCAAGGCAATACACACCGCTCTGTGGTTGTTTCACGTACGTTTTCTGTGAGACCGTGGTATCACTCCGGTCCAGCCGGCCCATTCGTACCGAAGCTTGGCTCTCCCACTCTTACACCATAAAGGTACTAAGTAAAAACGTTGGCAATGTTATTTTTTTAATTTAATTTTTTTATTCTTTCTAAGATAAGGTTAATGGAATAAGTAGTTTATTATTATTTGTATAAAATAATAAAGAATTTTCGATTGTAAGGAGCAAACTAAAACGACTCATTTTAGATTAATCTATCTGAAGTACCCAGTCTAGCTTAAATAAGAATCGTCATCATAAAAAAAAATGTTATCCCTGTTACAGTTATCAAATCAAAAATCAACATCAACAAAAAATAACTTGAAAACAAAAAAAAAATCAACACGAAACTGCTACAATAAACAAAATAAAAAAAATGTTATTTAAAAAATCCTATTAAAATGAAACAATTTTCATTCTCCATACTCATTAACTCAGTAGCGTAACATCACTAATTGGCCCAACGAAACAGCTAGTTAAGGTTCCGAAGAAAAACAAAGAAAAAAGCCTTGCTTTCACTAATACATTATTAATGTGTCAAAACCAGTCCACTTGGCCTCGGGACTTACAACAAATGTAGGGGATATCAATCAAGATGTAACTGGGCGTCAAGGGTCAGGTTAAGTTGGATGTGTTTCTTCTACGGGTACAATCAACCGCTTTGTGGATGTGACGGTTACAAATGCCTAAATAATGGAGAGGAAAGCGTGTGAGGGTCAAGATGAAAGAATTGTATGGATATGGTAAGTGCAACACAGTGCATGAGTAGTACTTTTTATGTACATATGAAGGTTGGCTTGACGAATTTGTGTTTAGTCAAGGATAAGTAGGGTTTTTGGAGGAATATCGTCCCGTAATGAATTTACAACATACATATAGTTACGCGTTAAATAATTATTTTAATACCGTGGTAGGCTTGACGTTTAAAAAATACCATAATTAATGTTGACGACAATAGTTTTTGGTGTGAAAGGGCAAAAATTGAAGAGTATATCGGAGAATAAACTGTGATTTAGTCTCCGGTAAGGTCGCACCTTTTGCAAACCTTTTTCGGACCTTTGTTGATTTGTTGTCTTTTAAGTTTCAGTCATAATTTTTTAAAAACCGCTTAATTATGGACTTCCAAAGAAAGACCAAGATTGTCTTAATTTTTCTCATTTATATACATGTATGTTGACAGGGTAAATCATCAAATTACTTCGTTTGCCCTGGATCGGATGAGAGCTAGTGTCAGACTCTTACCGCCTAAAAACTACCTAATTCCTTCTCCTGCTCCAGGCTGGGTCACGGTACTTACATGGTATTGTGCTTGATCCGTAACCCCGGATAGACATGGGCCTAGTTGGGCGTTATCTATACTAATATTATAAAGAGGTAAAATTCGTAAGTTTGTATGTTTGTAAGTTTGTATGTAGGGGGCAATCTTTGGAACCGCTGCTCAGATTTCCAAAATTCTTTCGTTGACAAATAGCTACAATGTTCCTGATTGCTATAGGCTATAAAACATCACGCTACGGTTAAATGGAGCCGAGCAGCGGGTGAAACCGCGCGAGAGTAGCTAGTCTTTAATAAAGTGGCATGCTATTTGGTACTATGGTGAACAACTGGCTACATAAAAATGTCGGTGCTTGTGCCAAGAAAGAAAAATAATCTCCAACTCGGCCCGAAGCACATACATAATAAATATTTAAAATAAATCTCAGAATGCCGTATCAATTAATTACGATCTTCCTGTTCCATTACCTTAGCGGATAGTGGCAAAGTGCGGTACAATTTTTCATGGGCTCTTTTAAGTGTATGATTTGTGTTGCATTCTGTTGCTAGTGGCATTATAACTGTTGATTTAATTGCTTATTAACATGGTAAGGATAGTAAGTAAAAAACATTTTCTTTTTTGGATTTTCTACCGGAATTTAGGAAGGTTAACAATGTCGTGTTTCTCTGGAGGGTAGGGTCAAGAATGAGGGTTCAAGATCGAAACGTAACAATTATAAATATGACCATTTCGAGTACTCCGAAGCCTAAGTCCCAAGCTTAATAAGACAGAAATATGGTGAAGTTAAACATCATAAGGAAACCTGGACTTGTAATTTTGGAATCTTAGTCTTTCTCTATGTGACAAAATGCCTTTACGCTTGCTGCTCTGTGTACTTGTATATATAGACTGGTCATGACGATATTTTTTTTTTATTTAAAAATATCTAGTCTACCTTCTTCATAATTATATTTTATTTCTTGATTATATTTTTTTTACATAATCTTTTTAACGACGACTTTTGATACTATAAATTTTATTATTCATTTATAAATCTATATTTACGCAACTATTTGATCTAAACTCTGAATTTTCTCCCAAGAGCCTGGAATCACTATTTAAAAATAAGATTTTCAATTAAAAACAATATCAGCGCACAAAAAAATAACATTAATTCTAGGTACCTACTAAATATTTATAGAACTTAATAAAATTCCCTTAAGACAAATGTACGCAATTTCTATTAAACGCACAATCAATTAGCTTTAGCTTATTAACTTTGCTGTCAGTACAAATGTATCGGCTATAGGCTATCAGGCTATATCGGCCACCGGCGTGGAACCGACAGGAAGATGTATAGCCGTTAATAGCCCACTAGTAGTCGCGCATCAAGCTACCCAAATTATTCAATTGAATTTTAAAATTTATTTCTAAAGAGTCAAAGCTTATTATATTTTACAGTCATAAAGTGTTTTAGTATATTTTAAAGTGCTGTTATACAATAGAGATTCTTTTTGTCTACAATATATACATACTTAACTTAACGTAAAAATAAAAAAGGTAAAAAATTTCTCTATTAGTTAGTTTTTATTGATTGACCTCCAAAATTACTAGACTGATACACAAAAATGTTTCTATAATTCAAAAGAAAATAATTTTGGGACTTACAACAACAGGCATATTTTTATACCGTTACTTGTTTCTGCCAGTGGCTTCGCCCGCAGAGTAATAAGCTTAACACATAGGCGTTTCCATACTATAATCTACATATATCTGTGCCAAATTACGTTCTAATCCATTCGATGTTTTACGCAAAAAACTAACAAACATCCATTTTGCTCACAAATTTAGTATGTCTCACGATACTACTTTTTAATTATTATTAAAAAATAGTTATTTTTTTTCAAAACGTTACCCCACTGTAGGATTTTCTCGTGTGTTGTGGGTGCGTTTACAAACATACGATGTCACATACACATCACACTCAGACCCGAAACAACAATTTGTAGATCACACAAAGTGTTGTTCCGTGCGGGAATCGAACCCGCGACACGTTGCACGGCAACCAGTTGCCCAGCCACTGCACCAACCGTGCAGTCAAAATATACAATTATACAATTACTTAACACGTATGACGTAATAACAGATAGTTATGTATCTCAACATTGTGCATTGATTCGATTCAAGTGTTTACAAGTAAATGACGTCACATGAACGATTTCCACTTATTCCATAATCGTAATAGACCACACACAGATATCTGGTTTATGTAAACAAGACCTTGCCTTTTTCCATGGAAAAATATAGGCTGGAATCCTAGTTTTATTCCCAGAATATTGTTTTGCTAAGTAGTATAGTAAATTTTAGACTTGAGATAGTGCGTTTTGTAAATTCTCGCGTGTGAGCTTGCGCAATGATTTTCTCCTTGCTGCACTTTCAAAGACAAAAATCACAAACACTAAGGTACCCAGACTGGAAACAACAATGTGGATTGCACACAAATTGGTATCCCAGGTAGGAATCGAACCAGTGATATAGCTGCCAGTTCCCCAACTACTGCGCAAGCTATGCAGTCGATTGTATTTAATCTTATACAATTTCACAAGTCACTCTTAAAGAATGCATTGTAAAATTATTGTTTATTAAAAACAAGAAGTATCAAGACCAAAACTTTGATTTTGCTCAAATAAAAATTCATCTTAACTTACATAGTTAATATATTTTTTTCACTATCTATCTTTATGATCTTGAAAAATGACCACTGTCACACAAAGGTAAATATGACCCCAAATTTATGGCCTGTTTTTGCAAAGCTGGACATGCGCACACCTTTCAATTTCGTCGCAGCTGGTCTATAAGACCACAATGGTATTAATAGAGTGAATCTATTTCACAGATGAGTAGTAGCAGCTGGTAAGTCTTGATCACAGGGACCAGTGTTGCGCGCACGGGGTCTTTTGTACCGTAGATGCACCCGATGGTTAAATTTATTATGTTAGTGGATCCTTTGATGTAGTAGTCTGTTTATTTGGTAGACATCGATTGCTGATAAATTGATTGTTATATTTTGTTTAATTATGCTTGTTTTGTTTTTGGTTTTCGTTGTGAGAATATATGGGTTATAAAAAATATCATACAACAGTGGTATTTTTGGTTAGGTAGTTTTAAATAAAAATCTCAACATTCATTAATTTAAGATTGATTTGTCAGTCAAAGCTTTAAAACTCAGTATTCGAATGACCGTTACAATCAGTCGCGCGGGAAAATTAGTTAACTGTCACATTTGACAACTGACAGTGTCAACATGACAGTTAATAGTGTCATCGCTAAAAATCGATCATTATGTTGATTTTCATTGTATAACATTAGGAATCCGTATTTAGAGCTAATAGTAACATCGATGACTGATAGTTATCTTAAACATCGTAATATTTGAAGGGTTGATATTAATATATCCAAAGGCTTGGACAAATGTAGACGTAATTTTAATAATTAAAACTGAAAACTTTTTTGCTGTTTAGGGGAGTTTTTTCAATCAGGAAGCCTGTTATGCCGTCTAATAAATGTAAAACAAATACTAAACTTTTCAATCGTTCGTTGACCTATGTTTTCTAATTACCTTCAGCCACAGAACGCGAAAACATTCGACAAAGCCTACAATCCGATCCGCTTAAAAACAAAAATATATTTTCTCAATGCAATGAATGGATTTATTTGTAGGAACACCTGGATTGTTTTGCTCGCAAACAATATTGAGGAGGCTGTCAAAAAGTTGAGTGTAATGAACGAATTTAATTAACAGCTGTTGTTGTTGACCGAACTTCGATTGGTGAATGAAGAATGTTTTTGTTGTGATTTTAACGGTCGTGGGTCGAATGCTAGAGTTATGTTTGTTGAGGCTGGAAATTTAAGAGTTTTTTTATGTTATAGTTCGGCAAACGAGCAGACGGATTACCTGATGGTAAGCAATCAGCGCCGCCCATGGACACCCGCAACGGAGGAGTTACGAGTGTGTTGCCGATCTTTTAGGGATAAGGGATTGAAGAGGGATTGGGGAAAGGGAAGGATTGGGCCTTCGGTAACCTCACTCACACGGTGAAACACAACACTGTGGTTGTTTCACGCCGGTTTTCTGCGGGGCCGTGGTATAGTATTGCATATTTGGTAATAAGACCGATATGGTTTGCTATTTCCATAGATAAAACAGCAATAAATTTAAATAATAAATTGCTATGGTCGTTGCAAAAGTTTGCAAGTGATCCGGACTTTTTGGGTGGTTAGGGATTTCAGCTGGATAAAGTAAAGTTTGGGCCACCGGTGACCTGACTCAGATAGCGAAACATAACAGAAGCACTGTTGTAAGGCCAAGGTATATACTAGTCGAGCGGACCAATTCGAGCCAAAGCATGGCTCTCCCACACTTATAATAAACCTGCTCCAACTAACATGAATGATTCACCAACGTCATACCCTCACAAATCATAACAAAAATGTATTTTTAGCATTACGAAATATCTTGTAGAATGTTGAAAAATCTTCTTATGTATGTTAGAAACATCAAAAAAGATTGGCAATGTTTTGGTTTTCCATCGTATGAGTTTGTAGTAGATTGTACTTCATACGTTTTAAGCAACAGCTGTGCGTTCGGGCTCTCGTTTCTTGGAATAAATTTATCACGAGATCACGAGCAAATTTCCCGTTTGAGGTTTTTTTTTTTTGGGAAGTATTTGTTTTGTTTAGGAATTTATATGGATGTTTTTTTCGATTTTTTAATATCAGTACAAGTTAAGCGTAATCTAGATGTGGTAACAAACATATGACCTCTCGTCTCAAGGGGTACTTTACTTAGAGGTCTGTTAAAAACCTCTGCAGAGAATGCGAACCTGCAGTATTTGTGCAACAGATATGAACTTACACTAGACTGCAGACGGGGTTGCGGGGCTAGCGCAATAAGGCACCGCGGCCTCGACCTAAAGCAGGAGAAGTAACGAGGGCTTTAGAGAAGTCATTTGATGATTTTCCCCAAACAAAATAAAGAGTATTCTATTCATATTGTTGAAATGGATAAAATCAACCTATTTATGTAAAATAGTACTTAACTTATATTAAGACAGTTGTCTTAGTTATCGAATTGGCATAATAATATTATAAAGTCTATAGATATGTATGGAAATTTTCATTCATTCGACCTCTCTGAATGGTCACATAAGCATTTGATTGGGCTTTCGTGATTGGCGTTTTTTTTAACATATAAGTATCAAGAAACTACATCATCTCTACCTACACATTCTAGTAAAAAGAAGTGTTTTTATGTATACATTGAAATTCAAAATTAGCAAATTTTAATATTCACTCGACAGTGGCGCCACGGTCGTTTAAAAGGCCTTTTAACGGGCGATTTATTTGAGTTTTCATTAGTTCCAATTTTGTCCACCTGAACAGATAATTTGGTTGTATTTTAACTTGTAAGTTGTAATGAGTCTGGGTAATTAGACGCAAAGATAACTGACGCCATATTACTTTAGACATTAAAAGTAAATGTTTTGTTATCTATGGTAGTCGCCATATTGTTTTGTTTGTTTTTTCTATTGGTTTCTGATTTTTTGTGTGATTCTTTACTGTTTATTGTTATTGAGGCTATAGACAGAATACAGATGATGTGAAAGAGAGAAAGAAAACCGACAGCATCCTGTCATTCTATGACTGGATACATTTATTAAGGGTATTAAGTCAGTATGAAAGTAGTTAATTTCAATAGAGTAATTCAACTTTTAAAATCTTTGACGAGCCTTAAAATAAAGTAAACTTTAGATACAGCTAACGACTAATATAAATATAGCATATCTCTAACATATACAAAAGATAGGTTGAGAACGAAATAAAAATAACACTCGTCTCAAACATAATCAGCTAAATAAACATAACATTACATCATAGTAAAATCAACATACAAATTCCAGTACAAAATTACCATCACTTCACGTAAACATCAGAGAAAAAAAAACGATCAGAAATTACCTGTAATTTGATCAATACTTAAATTTGGAACACTCATTATGCACAACACTGCACAGACACAACACTACGCGATCTCGGAAACATGCAAACTCCTGCGCATCTTTGCCGACACTGAATCACTCATTCATACGAAAATTTCGATCTATTAACTGCTATTTGTAAGGTATTAACACAAAACTGTTATGCAACTAAGTAGCCGCTTCTACCAAAACCGTAAAAACGATTTTATGCATACATATTATTATTTAAAAATCTGATAACGGGTCTATAAAGATGTTAAATTATTGACGTGTCTCATTAAAAAAACACTGGCCGCCACGTAATTTTGTCACAAATTGAAACCGACACCCATTCTTTATTTGATAATTTGAATTTTTCGGTTTTAAATCTCGAACGTATTTGAATTATGAATAATATAACGCGTCATAAATAAATAAATTATTTGACTTTGAATTTAGAATAGAATTTGTTTGTTATTGTTTTTTAACGGTTTGTTTAGTTAAGAAGTTAGTTATTTTTGTGATTTTAATGGTGGTTATTCGAGTGTACTGTCCACGGATGTAAGAAACAAACGAATGAGCTCAGTTAACTAAGAATGAGATTAGTTATCAGTTTTTATCGCAAACGGTCGTAACTTGCGTCCTTTAATCGCTGGACGCGTCACCGATAGTGGGCCGGTTATGAACTATTTATTAAATCACTATATGGATGTGGTAATAACACTATTTACATATTAATAATAGTACACGGAAAGTTTAAAATTGATGAACATATAAAAACTCTTTCTTTTCTAAGTGAATGACGAACCGATAAAATACAAAACTAAAACTGTCACCTGTAGTGCGTGGTCGTAAAACACAGAAATGTGGTTTCTTAGAGAGAATAGGAAATTATTTAGAGGGATTTGTTTCAGTTTTTAAGACAGCTTATTTTAATCGAAGAATGTTTAGGAGAACAGGTGAACGGAATTCGCCTAATAGTTTATTGTTGAGTCAGGAGAAATAGTTGTAACAATGTTTTGCTCATTTCCCTTTTAGGCTTTTCTACTGCATCTATCGTTGGTGTGTTTACAAACATATTTATATGCAATTTCACATACAAATCACACCCACACTTAGAACAACAATTTGTGGATCGACAGCCGATTTCCCAGCCCCGCATCAACTGGTATATGTTATGCTAAAAAAAACAAATGACTAACACAAAAAATAAATAGGCCACTTATATTGTACTAGCTTTTCCACACCCGGCTTCGCCCGCTTCGTTTGTTAATAAGAAGTAGCCTATGTCCTATTCCGGAGTGTATCCCTTGCCTGTCAGCCGGGGTCTCGGGGTAAGCGCAATGAGTCACCGTGACCTCGGCATAGCAGGAGAAGGAACAGGGGGTTTTTAGTCAGTAAGAGTCTGACACTCCCTCTCCACTGAGAAGTAATTTGATGATTTTCCCCTCACAAAAAAAAAATCCCTTGCCTGTGACAAATTTCATCCAGATCCATCCAAACATCGTAACTTTCGCATTTGTAATATTAAGTAAAATTGTAAATAAAATTAAATACAACTTAAACTTATGCATGTCTTATGACGACTTATGAGTACCGATTAACAACTATCGTGTGTATAAATTAAACCCTTAAAAGTACAAGGAATCTTGACTATTTTCCTGTATTTATTTGTATGATTATGGTAACGTATAATAAGTGTTACATAAACAAGTATTTACTTATATTCTATATAAATAACAGATAGAAGAAAAACTTCGAAATAGGACTTGTTATTAAATTGTTACTTTATGGATATAACAACTCAGTAGTTGACGAGGTGGAGAATCGAAAGCCATAAGCGAAATAATTTTTTGGCATCCATAAAATGTTGGTCCAAGTCTCAGTACCATGGAAGTAAGTCACATCAACAATACAGAAAAAAAATCTAGTAAGGTACACATAGCGTTTTCTTTGTGTTGGTGAGCGCATAACTCAACAACGCCTGGACCAATTTTGCTAATTCTTTTTTTGTTGTGTTTGTTAATGTCAGGAGAAGGTTCTTATCAATCAAAGAAAATATTAGAAAAGTAGAGGGGAAGATTAGGAAAAAGTGACCCTTTGATAGCGAGATAGTTGGACCGGTACAAAGAGGGGGCGGGCCGCTAGTTACTAAATAAAAATAAACTACCAACTCCATTTTTATTACAAACCTCGTGTTCGATAATGATTTTAATAATTAACAAACCAAAAATATGTGGAACTTCATTATCTGTTATGTCATTCATCCTTACGGACTTGCGTTTGGGTACCTTCACATCAAGTACCAACATTCAGATTTATTACGCAACTAGCAACCCGCCCCGGCTTCGCTCGGGTGTTATATGTACTTAACTTTACTATTTAATAGATGTTTATTAGGTATGTATACGTATAAACCTTACTCTAGCTATAAAAAAAGCATCAAAATTCGTTGCGTAGTTTTAGAGATTTAAAAATACATATAGGGACAGAGAAAGCGACTTCGTTTTCAAGTCAAAATCAAAATCATTTATTTCAACATCAAACAAAGCTTAAGTTTTATAAAGAAGAATGACCGATAGTCTTTCGATCAGTCCTCTTAGTAAAGCTATTTGCTCGTTCTAAAGTGTAGATTCTAAAGGAGAAGAACGAGCATGAAACTCCATGGTTACCCCTTTTTATAGTTAATATGTAACTAATAATAGTCGCTAGGTAAAACTCTTGTTCATTTTATATCAACGTTTACGCACGTCCAATAATTTTAAAATTATATTTATTCCTATATAGATGACGTGATAGTACAGAATTCGAGAAATGATTTCATTGTATGCAGTTATACGAGTAGGTGTAGGTGGTAGGAAGTACGCCTTTTTAGATGCAACAACAGCTTTGCAATAATATTAAATGAGATCTTTACTTAACTTTCAAGGTTGTTTTGTTATATTGTCGTACCCAGAGTCATTTAATGGTTACTTAACCCAGCCTTTAGCGATTTGGTACCTAGTTACCAACTAGCACTTAAAATTAATAATTTCATTGATATGTCAAAAATGATAAACTTCTGTTATGAACTTTGTATGAACTGACAACACATTTTTTTAGGAGGGTAAGGCGAAAGAGATTGGGTCCGACTATTACTGACCAAAACCTCCTTTTTTCTTCTCTTACTCGACGAGGTCGCGGTTCCTTATCGCGCTTGACCCTCAACTTCAGCACAAAATTATACCTTAGGTCGTAACTTAGTTTAGGACCCAAAAATCTAGATTGTAAAGAAAATTTCCTAGATAGGACAGTAAAGTAGATGTTATGAAAACGACTAAAAATACGTCGTGAAAATTTTACAACTTCAGTGAAAGTGTATTTTACTGAGTTATTCAGCGTAGATAGAGCTCTTCAATTTTTATAGCACTATAATAATTTAACGCTGTTTTAAAATCCATACTTACTTATGTAGGTAGGTAGGTAGGTACTATGTATATAATAGTGGCCATGCTTTGCGTGGAAATTGGGACAAGTATTTTAGGTTAAAAAATGTGATCATTATTTATTTTTTAGGAAATAATTTGGTGAATTTCATTTTTTTTTTATGTAATAGGTAGGCAAACGAGCAGCAATCAACGCCGCCCATGGACACTCGCAACGGAGGAGTTACGAGTGCGTTGACGACCTTTTAGGGATTAGGAATTTGGAGATTTAGGGATTCAGGAGGGATTGGGCAAGGGGAAGGATTGGGCCTCCGGTAACCTCAGTCACACGGCGAAACAACGCAGTGGATATTTCACGCCGGTTTTCTGTGAGGCCGTGGTATCAATCCGGTCAAGCCGACCCATTCGTGCCGAAGCATGGCTCTCCCACACTTACTTGTTTTTTTTGAAAGGCGATTTTTCCTAATCTAAATATATATACTTTATTATGTTTAAAGAAAAAAAATGAGTTGTGTCGTATAAGTGAACGTATATTGTCTGATACTCAACATATTTTATCTACAAAAATATTTTATCAGAAAATCATTATGAAAACTCTATTCTTAACTTCAAGAAATTTAGAAATAGCTAGTGAATGTTATCGGTACTTAAATATAACATCATAAGTCATAACATCGCTTGAAATAATCCAGTTCCGATAGTGAATGCAGTAAAATTGATCGATATCGATTCCAGTAATTCTGAGTCATCGAAATCAGGTGTTTACTCATGAATCTGCAGTTTCTATGAACGAAGAATGTTTTATGTACTTGTGTTTAGTGTTTTGATTTGAGTTTCTATTAAGTACCTATTTGTGAAGAAATATTGCCATTTATAGCCATAGATACTTATACTCTTACCATAGATAGTTAATAAATATAGAACGCGAAAGTTCTGCCTCGCAAATGTTACTTTCGTCTGTGGTATTTCCAAATTAATATGAACTTCAGATATTTAAAAAAAGGTTTTAATACTATTTTACGGCTAATTTACTTTTAACAAGACAGCTAATAGTGCAAATTTCCATTTACAACTCTAGACTTAAAAAAAAGCGAAGCAACAATTTAAAAGCGTTGGTATGAAGTATTTTAAAATCTTTTTACTTGGAATCTATGAAGCATTGCCCAAAATTTTTGTCATCATTCATCCCATAACCTAAAACTCAATCCCCAAACCACAAAATAACTGGTCACCCCAGTCCATAAAGCTACCAGTGTACACAGCATTAATAAACTCTAGACCGATATTCCCGAAAGTGGCGTGTGGTCACCCTGCACCCAGATGTGCTTCTCCGTGTATTTGAAAATAGAACTAGGTTAGACTGAAGTTGGTGCTGCTGTCACTATGCGAATTTACAAGTTTATTGCAAGACTGTATTATGTATTATGGTGAATGCAAGGTAGATGTAGCACATTTATTTGTTTAAGTTTGTATGCACAGATCAAATACATATACTGACTTTAGTATACATATATATATCGGGATCGATCGGTCATCGCATGAAAGGGCCCATTAGGGCTGATGTGTAGATGCCAACTTTGAAAGCAGCAGCAATAATATTCGTAGGGCCCAACCCGGAGCAGGAGAAGGAACGGGGGTTGTTTAAGTATATAAGAGTCTGACTCTCCATCACGCTTCACCCTAGAAGTCATTTCATGATAGCTCCCGGCAAAAATAAAGGTAAATTGTCATTGTAATCGTCTGTTTTAGTCTTGAGTTTGGGTCTAATAATGCTAAGCGTTTGCAGATGTGTTTGGACCCTTTTATTTGGAGCTGTACAACTTTGCCTTAAGTAAAGTGCTCCTGCTCGCAGCGGTATGCTTTTTAGCTGACAGCCCTCTGTGATAAATGAACTATCTATCACAAAAGTATCCCTGAATTCAAAACAGAAGCTCTTGATATTAGCGCGTTCAAGCTAAAAAACTCCATATTAGATAATGATTGTTTCAAACCAAACATTCGATTTGAATTCAAGATGAGTAGCCATAACTAGAAAGAGTAGCCGACAAACAATTTTATCGAAAACATTGTATGATAAATATACATAAATTTAAACATTTGAACGGATAGACGTTTCATCTATATTTATAATTACAATATGT